TACTATTTTGGCTACATAATAGTTGATCGCTTTTTCATAAAAACAATTTTGTTATATCACTTTGGGAATGATTTTAGAATCATAGGAGGTTAGTAATTTGATCAAATACGTAAACCAAATGGAGACAAAAACCAAGATGAAGAAAGACCACCTTTAAGGTATAAACTTCCTGTTGAACTTCAGATGAACAAGGTTGTACAGCAGGAAGGAATTATTTAGGATAGTCTCCTAGGGGGAAGTGTGTTATCGGGTCTGATTAAACCTTCTTTCTTGGTACTGTATCCAAGTCCTTATTCCTTGTGGGTTGCAGCAACTTCATTTTGTACTTACCACTTTGGCTTTTACTTCCTCACTTTCAGCATATAAAAATATACAGCTTTTATTTAGCTTGTTGCATGTCTTATCACAACTCATGCCCCTCAGTACTTTATTTTGAGCCACCTTTTGTTGCCTGAAGTTATTCTCACATTTTTTGTTGTATTTGTTATAATCTTCATGAAAGATGAATGGGTAATAATACAGTTGACTTTTGGATGTGTAAATATTTATTTCTGCCACCCTTAAAAGTGAATGATGGGATTAACTTAATAATGGGATTAAAAGTGAATGATAATGATTAACTTGGTATAGAAATTTTATTTAACAATATTTGCTCTCAGGATTCTGTAAAAAGATATTATTCTATGATTTCTGTCATCTAATATTGCAAAGACCGATTCTAGCTGGTCATAGGTAGAATTCTAAGTTGGCCCCAAGATTCTCATCTCTTGGTGTACATACCCTGTACAAACCTCTCTTCTTCAGGATGAGGAGGACTTGTGATATGTGATGGGATTTCACTCCTGTGACAATTCTTACACTATATGGAAAAACAGATTTTTTAAAGATGTAATTAATCAGTCAAAGTTTATTTACTTAAAAGAGAGTTTATTTGTGGTGAACCTTACCTAATCAAGTGAGCCCCTTAAGTGCCCAGGCTTTCCCAGAAATCAGAGAGATTTGAAACAGTACAGCTTTTCCAGTCGGTCTTGAAGAAGCAAGCCACCACGTTTTGAGAGGAGTGGGCTATGTAGTAAAGACTTGAGGGTGGCCTCCAGGGGCTTAGAGTGGTCACCAGCCAACAAGAAGCAAGATAATGGGTACCCCAGTCCGACAAATACAACCAGTAAGTATGGAAGAGGACCCTGGGTCTCAGATGAGATCACAGCTCCAACTGACACTCAGACTTGAGCTTTGCAAGACCGTAAGCTCAGAACCCAGCTCTGCTGTGCCTGGACTTCTGAACAACAGAAACTTTAAGATAATAAATTACAGTTGTTTTAAGCTGCTAAATTTGTGCCAATTTGTTACACAACAATAGAAAACTAATACACTAGCTTAACATTTTTCTAAGTGACATTTTATTTTCTGAATCTTTGTGATCCTCTTATTATACTTGAAGTTCAGTTATTTTATCAACATAGCTATAGTATTTTAACTTTAATTTGCAGGTACACGTTGAGTCTCTTTAAAGAATAAGTTCTTTCTTTATTTAGCTTTTCATTATTGATATTTGAAAATAGAAAATATATTTTATTCAGTCTTTTCTCTTCATCAGGAATACCAATTATCCATATGTTGTATCTTTTTTGTCTGTATTGATATCTGTTATCTTCTTTTTGATTCCAAATAACATATCAACTTTTCTAAATTGTTAATTTTGTTCATCACTTTTAATGCCTTTTATAAAATCTTAAATAGTTTTTTATATCCCTATCTTACCTGTAATCCTCCTAGCTTCTTTTGTATCTCACTTTGTGTATCACTTCATCTGTCATTGAGTTGAAATGTTTAATATCCTTGCAAGTACTAAGGTAAGAAATTGTTAGATCCTTAAGTATTCATTCTTTCCTTTCTTAACATCAGAAGCTCTGACTTTTTATTTTTATTTTTTTAGCTGGAGACATGACCAATAACAATTACATGTATCATCTTTGAATGTGTATATGGCAAAGTGACTAAGTTCTAGTCAATCAGTAGAATTTAGGCAAAAATTTTGTGTGTGACTTTTAGAAGGATAACTAAAGGCATTGGGTGTGCTCTTTTCTCTTTTCTTTTTCTTTCTTTCTTTCTCTCTTTCTTTCTTTCTTTCTTTCTTTCTTTCTTTCTTTCTTTCTTTCTTTCTTTCTTTCTTTCTTTTCCCAATGGCCATAATGTAAATGTGTTGCCTGGAACGTAAGCCATATCTTGGACCATGAGATATAAGGTATATGGCTACAATGATGGATAAGAAACACAGAAGAAGCCTCAATTCCTGTAACCTTGAGTTAGGCTGACTTGCCTTGCCTGAATCTAGATTAATTTCCTTTAAAAAAAAAAACTTAAACCACTATTTCTTCAGATATTCTGCCTCTCACAGTCTTACATAACTCCAGTGTTATAAATGCATTTATAATTATTGCCTCTCCTTATTATTTGTTTCATGAGGAAAGTCTTTCAGTCAATGCCATATTGAAACTGATTTTCCAGCCTATGATCACCTTCTCCAGAGGCACAGTGTTATTTATTTGGTAATATTAGATTTGTCTGCTTAAAATTTAAACTAGATATCTGGATGATTTAGACCTACATAATTGGTTCTGTCACTCGGCACCTGTCAAGTGAGAAAAGAAGGAACAAAATCTCAGCAGCAAAAATGCTCCTCTGTATCATTTTCCTCTGTGTTGTTAAAACTGCTCCAAAAGAGTGAGTCATTTCACATCTGGTCTGCTGTTTAGCCTGGCTGTCTTTCAGTAGTGCAAAGATGGAATATAGAACACTTACATGAATTTCTGGCCACAGAGTGAGGAAAGTGTGAGTCTTTTTTCACCATTTTATGTGAACTTTTTCTTCCAGAAAGTGCTTTCCTGCCACTCTTAACTGGTACATAACTGATTAGTTTGCTAGGAAAACCCCTATCATCTGAAAAGTACTGATTCATATTTCCCTGTTCAGTGACTTCTACTGCTGTTGACTCAAGGCCGTAAAACTGAAATCGACTAGGTTGAGCCCTGCCTCTTCTGTGGTTCATGATTGCTTTTACTTTTTCCTGCCAGGTTGGAATAGCTTTTCTTCACATCTGGGTGAGCTCATGCTGCTATTAAACAGCCAAATTGATGAAATAAGCAAATGTTTCTTTTCTAGGCCTGCCTTCATGGCCCTAGAATACTGTATCTGTGGGGAAAATGATTTCCCAGAGCCACAAACTCCATTTCAATCATGCTCCAAATTCTTATCTTCCTCTTAAGGATAAAATTAAATAATAAAATGGTGAAGCTGGAAAACTGAAACCATGTAATCCATCTCTACATTACTTCACAGTTGAGAAAACAATGAAGATCTGGAATGATTAAGTGAGAGACTTTTCCAAAATTATTCATTTTGCTTCCAAGTGTGAGTTCTCTCCTCCAGAGACACAGAATTCAGCAGTTCTTTTAAAAAAAATTCAAATACATTTCAATGACATCTTAAAATTCAGTACTGACAGCCCTTGCTGTACAGTACGATGTTGTCTTAAATCATTTATAATGCGAATTTATATCCTAGTTTCCTAAAAAAATTAATTGAATAAACAGAAACAAATGTTACCTAGCTTTGACGAATTTGAATAATTGGCCAGTAACAGACAATTCATTTTCTTATTCTTTTACATAGTAATGTTTATGGATTTGCTATTATTTACATACTATGTATTTCCCTAGGCAGGAGGTTTTTAAGAGGCAAAAGACAAAATCTTTGCCTTTAAAAGATTGCAGCCTAATGTTAAATGCAGTTTTCAACAATTTCCATTGTAGCAACTAGAGAGATTTTTCCCATTGAAAAGGAAGATGAAAAATGTCTATAATTTTAGGTATAAATTAAATTTAAAAAATCTTTCTGTATTAGCTACATTTCTAGAGGATTAAAATGTTGAAGAATAAGGTCCTTTAGAAGTCATCCCTGGGAAGCCGAGATGGGGAATCACTTGAGCTCAGGAGTTCGAGACCAGCCTAAGTAGGAGTGAGACCCCGTCTCAAAAAAAAATTGTTTTTAATTTAAAAAAATACAACAAAAGTCATCCCATGAAGGGATTAAGCATTAAAAGAAGTCATAACTATAATAATTACCTCAGTGAGATCAGTTTCTCTCCTGATTCATGAAAAAGTAAAATTTATCCTTCTAGAAGTTTCTCTGATCTTTAAGTCATTTGAAATGACATTATAAATAAGTCAATGCTACAAATTTTTGTTTGTTTCATAGTCAATATCTCCACTCTCCCACCGCAGACACACACACACACACCAATTTGATGGAAAATAAAGTCAGCATAAATTCTTTTGGATAATGTAATTTTACCAGAAATTTGTTTAACTACATCACAGTTTTAAAGCTATATAAAAGATGTCTTAATTGCAAAGTGTGGAGAGCCCAAGTAATATTTACAAATACATTTATAATAGTAGTTATCAAAATACAACAAATATGTCATAAAGTTTACATAGTTTATTTATGATTAGTATAAAATTCTCCTCTTTGTGAGGCAGGGTCAGGGCCCACCAGATATCTCAAAATGTCTGAGGTGATTGTACCTTTAATTTCTAGAAGTCATTTCCAAAGATAAGCAAACTTATTTGCTACATATTTTAGTAAGGTTAATACATATTTTAATTAGTTGACTATTGGAGCATCCATAGGAGTAGTAAAAATAAAAGTGTTTTGTATGTTCATTCATAACAGAGACCTGAGGTTGGCATAGGTAAAGAAAATGAATGCCTTTATGGTGCCAGCTGCATGACATTTTATACAAATTATCACAAATATTTACAACCACTCTGGAAGCTATGTACTAATTTCTTATTTAACAAAAAAGAAAAATGAAGCCATAAAAATATTTAAATAACTTACCAGAGAGCACAGATAGTGAGAGGCAGAACAAAGATTAGAAACCAAATCTGCCTGATGAAGCCGGGAATCAACCCTTTACACCTGAGAGAAGAGGGATCTAAGAAGCAGTCATCTCATGGATCACTGAAATGTAAACTATCAAGGACTGGCCTCTACAAAGAAACTCATTAAGCATGCGGATGAATATTTTATTTGAATGCAAGGATTTAACTGTAATAGTCTTCTTTAGCATAAATGTGGGAGTCCTGTCTACACATATCTGATCTCCTTTTTGGTTTTAATAATAGATAATAAGAGGTTCTTAGAGTCCTGACCTTTTTCTGAATTTCCCTAAAACTTTCTGGAGAGCAGCCATAACTTCCTTATTCCTCAAGCTATAGATCAAGGGATTCAACATGGGTGCCACCACGGCGTAGAATAGAGCAACCATCTTCTCTTCTACTGAGGAGGCGGACCGTGGCCCCAGGTAGGTGAAGATGGTAGCCCCAAAGCACATGCAAACCACAGTAAGATGAGAGGCACAAGTCCCAAAGGCTTTGCTACGCCCCTGAGTAGAACGAATGCGTAGAATGGCAGCTACTATACGCACATAGGAGAATAGAACCAGAGAACAGGGAATCATGATCACCAGAAATCCTGAGATGGCCACCATGATTTTGTTGAAGGAAATGTCCACACAGGCTAGTCGTAGCACTGCTAGCGTCTCGCAGACAAAGTGATTAATAACATTGTGGCACAAGGGAAGCCGGAAGGTGATGATTGTTTCCATCAGTGAATTCATGAATCCAGCCCCCAGGCAGCCAGCAGCCAGCCCCAGGCACAGCCCCTTGTGCATGAGAACCGTGTAGTGCAGTGGGCAGCACACTGCCACGTAGCGGTCGTAGGCCATGGCTCCCAGCAGAAAGAACTCAGACCCACCCATGGCCAGGGAAATGTAGAGCTGGACCACACAGTTGGGGAATGGGATGGACTTTGGGGCTGAGAGCAAGTGGACCAACATTTGTGGGGCAATACTGCTCGCATAACAAAGATCCACAAAGGACAGAGCACTAAGGAAGAAGTACATGGGGGTATGAAGCCTGCAGTCCAGTCTGATCAGAAGAAGCATGAGGGCATTTCCTGCTATAGTCACCAAGTACATGGCCAGGATCAGGACAAAGAGGGACACCTGAATGCCCCAGTCACTGGACAGCCCCAGCAGAATAAACTCACTCACCCATGTCTGGTTTTTATTTTCCTGGCCCATGAGCTACTGAGAATCAAACTAATTATGTAGAAATAATAAATCATGAAAACTCAGGATTGGAAGGGTGGTTTGTAGACCATATGGAGAGTTTATCCATCTGAACTTGAAGTGTCCCTAGAATATCTCAGCCAAATCGCTATCCAAACTGCATGGACAATGCATCCATGGATGAGAACCACAGTGGTATCCAGATGTGCAGCTAGAAATCAAGGAGAAAAGAAGGTACATTCCTGGAATTCAATTTATCGAAACATTTCTTCTCCCAAGCATCTGCTCTTAAATGAGAGAGGGAAATTAAATGAAGTATTTAGACTGAACATCATATGCAATTTAATAGTTATTATAGGAGAAAAACCCTGCCTTACTGGTGAGAAAGATTTTGGTCCACATGAAAAATATGTCTGGATCCCGAATGATTTTCAGTATCACTTATTTTTGTTTATTGGGTTTCTCCTCAAGATACCTCAGACACAACCCTATTTACCTCTAAGTGGAATGCATCCATGAGCCCCTGAATGTTTTAAATGGACTTCTTGTACCTTTTATTAGTAAGCAATTTTGAGTTTATTTTCTGTGACTTGCCCTTTTACTTTCAGAATGCCAAATGGAAGGCTTCCTCCCCACCTGCCTCATACCAGTGGCTTAGCTAGGCGAGACCAACCCAAGATGGCCAACCTCAAGGATCAGCCTTTATATGAAGAGAAGATATAGATAACTGCTAAAATTAATCTCTTATGCACTCCCAAGGGAAATTTAATGAAGTATTTATTGATGTCAGGTTATTACTTGATAATGATGTTTTCTCAGGCAAGTTAGAGTTCATTCATGTCCTGTGGAAAATGCATCAGTCCTTACCAGGGAAGTTAGGAGGATAGAAGACAAGGCTTTAGTTGCAGAACATAGTGACATAGGTGGTAGTTTGCTATGGTCGCTTTTCATTGTGTTTTATTAACCACTTTATTGAGTTTCTGAGAGAGAGAGAGGGAGAGGGAGGGAGAGGGTGGGAGAGAGAGAGAATATATATATTTATAAATATTTATATATTTATAAAGGAATTTATTGAAAATATAGAGCTTTCAGAAATTGAGTGTCAAACAGAAATTAGTAAAAATGATCAAGTAATGTCAGGCACCATATACACACACATACATATATATTCACATATATATGTAATATATGCCACACACACTGCTCAAGAATTGCTGACAATATAAATGTTAAAGAAATTAATAGTTATTTTGCATTTGCAGCTTTGTAATAGAATTTAAATAAATAACTAAATATTCTAAATATATATATATATATATATATCATAAAACCTAAAATAAAACCTAAAACATCCCAAAATGGGATGAGTAATTTCCAAGAAGTGTTTCTATTGTGACTTGTTCTTTAAAGGAATACCAGTGATTTGCCCTACATTGTATGCAATATTTACTCTAAATAACCTCTCTTCCATGCTATCTAGAAAGAGCTCAAATGTAACTGTGATGCAGCCACTCTTCCAGTATTGTCAGTGCGTATGTATGTGTACACAGTGGAATCGATGTGGAAATTACGGTTAGCAGTGGGTTCATTTACATTTTACACTTTTATAACAAAGACTAAAGAAAAAATCGAATAGAAAAAAGAAGTGATATATTTCTACATATCTCCAAAAATATGTTCAAAAGAAGAGTATTTGTGCTTAAATCCATGTTGTTTTTGCTCAGTAGTGTAGTTAAGCAAGTGTATTTCCAAGTTTCCCATTGCTTGTGTAAACAATTTTGTTGTTATTCCCCAAATAAAATATATCTGATATTTTTAAAGGTGACAAGCAATAAAATCAAAGCAAAATCTGATTTCTGGCTAAAAAAATTGTTTCAAGTAACTTACCCAAGGTCAATTGCCCATTGACTGGATCATTGAATGTTTGGGTTTGGTTTCAGAAAAGCTTCTCAATCTTGTCTGCTATTTTGGTGGCAGGTGGTGGGGGGAAGCTTCGGAAGCCCTCTTGGCTGACGAAAGTGTAAAAGTTCATGAGGCTGGGAAGAATGTTAAGAGAAGAATTAAGTCGTGACGGCACTTACCTGTACATCACATTGGTTTAAGCTTACACTTACTATTTTCTGAGTCAGGGATTATATTAAATACACATCTATTAATTTAGTGTAATAAATATAATTACAACAGCACTCTGAAGTTTGGCTTGTTATGTATATTTTCAAATGGAGAAAAAGAGGTGATGTGACAGAAAGTGGGAAGTTAGTAGGTAAACAAAGGATCATCTGAGGACCTAGGGCACATCCATTACGCTACTCCTAGGTACAGCATGCCCTGGGTGACACACAGGGATAGTCACTGTTTAAAGGATGTGGAGTAACTGAACGTGGAAATTAGGAGGTGTATCAAGAGGACTACTAGAGGTCCTGCTTTCCATCCGATAAAGGGCTGACAACAATCTATATAGAACTTAAGAAAATCAACAAGAAAAAAATCAAACAACCCCATCAATAAATGGGCAAAGGGCATGAACAGAAACTTTTCAAAAGAAGACAGACTAATGGCCAGCAAACATGTAAAAAAGTACTCAACATCTCTAGTTATTAGGGAAATGCAAATCAAAACTACAATGAGATATCCCCTGACTACAGTGAGAATGGCCGTTGTCAAAAAGTCCCAAAACAACAAATGCTGGCGTGGATGTAAAGAGATGGGAACACTCTGACACTGCTGGTGGGACTGCAAATTAGTACAGCCCCTGTGGAAAGTAATTTGGAGATACCTCAAAGAGATAAATATAGACATACCATTTGATCCAGTGAGCTCATTCACTAGAGAGACTGAAAATTCCAAGAATTAGGGTGGACCAAACTAGATTCCTCCTCACTTACCCATGAAGTTGAAGTTTGGGCTTCAACCCACAGGCAACAGGTCAAAGAGGAAAAATGCCAGCATACTGTTCCTGTTTAGGAACTATCTTCTTGCAGTATACAATTAATTCACCTCTTTTATAACCTTGAACAGATAATTATTCTTCCACTTTTTCTGATTTGGTGATGAAGACAACAGCTTACAATGAATATAGGACTGAGAGACCATTATTTCCCTCTAAGAAAAATTAAAGTGTTCTGGTTACAGAAAATAATAGAGACAATTGTCAAAGTATACAAAATTTCAGTTGGGTAGGAGGAATAAATTCAAGAACTCTATTGTACTCTTGTGACTACAGTTAATAACAATATATTGTATACTTGAAAACTGCTAACAGTAGATTTTAAATATTTTCACCACAAAAAATGATAAATATGTGAGGAAACGCACATGTTAATTAGCTTGATTTAGCCTTTCCACAATGTATATATGTATCAAAACATCATGTGGTACACCATAAATATATACAATTTTAACTTGTCAGTTAAAAATGATCTAATTTCTGAAGTGGATAAAGGTGAGTGCTTATTTTTAAAAATCAGCTTTCAAGCTCTTACTCAAGGGGGAGGGGAGCATGGGCAATATAAATAACCTTAACACTTATACCCCCATAATATGCTAAAAGAAAAAAAAGAAAATTTGAACTTAAGTATAGTTTTGTCTGGCCAAAAGAATATTCCTAATAAGAAAAAGGTGACGGATGTCAAAGGCTCCTGGACTGAAGATATAAGTCTTATCTGGTTGGGAAGATTTCTTTCCTTCTTAGCTGTCCTCCGTAGGAAAGTATTTTTGGTAGTGGTGAGAGCTTATAAATAGTGCCAACATATTCCCCACTATTTGTGTAAATAGCAACAGTCACACTAAAATAAAAAGGGAGCGATGTTTCCCGTTCACTTGCTGATCACACCAAAGGCAGAGGTCAAATGTTGAGTGGCCATGTATTTACCTTGAAATCACTGTGCAGGTAGAGAAGACCCAGGGGTGATTTCCATAGTCATAGGAATGCCTTCCGTGTGCCTAACTTAGATTCTGCATACAAACACACTCACGTGTGCCCAAGCTTGACATAAGCTTCTTGTCATGCCTATTTGCCTGTACACATAAAACATAAAATAATAATATTGTGAATGTACCAAATGCCACTGAATTATACACTTTAATGTGGTTAGCTTTATGTTGTGTGAATTTCACCTTAATTTTAAAAAATCTTCAGAGACTGGTGATATAAACACACACACATACATTAAATGTTTTTCTAAGAAAATTATCCCAAATTTTTATAGATAGGTGGATAATTAAATACCTGAAGTAGAAAAGTATGCAAAATGAGTAAATGGAGAAAGGAGAGTGGATATTTAAATGTAAATAAGAATAAACAAATAAAAGAACTTATTGATAAGCTACCTATACGGGAAAGTAAAAAGTCTAACTTCTTTCTCTAAGAAAGAATTAAAGATCATAAAGGAAAAAGGGAAACCAGAAAGGAAGACCAAAAAAAAAAAAAAAAATACTATGAATCTCGCCAGGAATTAAAATTGAAACAAATGAAGAAGTGAAAACTATGAAAATAAGAAGAAAAAAATTGAAATGCTCCTTTATGAATGTCATTTTATTGACATTTAATCAATGTGTATGTAGTTAGAGTTAGCTAATATTTTTATACATACAATGGCACTTTCAATATTTTATTAGTCTGGTTATTCAATTCCAAGGTGTTAGGTTTAGTCCTTTTTTGCAGTGAACATTTTCTGGAATTTGGTTCTATCATAGTGGAAGCCCTATCCAAAATAGAGTTACCAGGGAGATCAATGATTTTCAGAAACTCTGAACAGCAGACATCCCCATGCACACACACAAAAATTTCAGGACATTGTTTTTTTCAGTTATAGTACTGAAAAAAAAAAAACAAATTTCCCACCAAAAAATATGAAGGACTCAAAATCACTTAGCTAAGGTACATCTATTTGTCATGACAGAGTTGTTTCTACACAAGTTTAATTTCAGTTCATCAGCCACTATACCATAATCTGCTTTGTAATGGAGAGAAAATACTTCACCAGAATCATCCCTGCATTACCAAAGCCCAATGAGGTGTTCCTAAACCCCTATCCCTTTACTCAGAACTATTCAAATAGCTTTGCAAGGATATTTGACATGGGATGAAGAAGACTAAGTGAAACCCATAGAGAATACAAAGGAAGTGGGGAAGAATAGTACAGTTTTGGGCTGGAGAATAGGCTGGGAATGAGGGATCCATCTGCCTCCTGAGGCTTTGGTCCCTCCTCCTCTTTGTTCAGCTCCTTTCTAGTGCTTGCTGTGATCACCAGGCCTTCTTGTCTTTTCTCTTCTCTGCCCCAGACTACTTAGACAAGAAGCATCAGATAGACCCAGTCACAATAGGTAGCCCAGCCAATTCTTAATTTCAAGTAGAATTGCCTGCCTTTCACGTTAGCAATAACAGATCTGTGTCT